CTTCGGACTAGGTGCGTTCTACTAAATCGCCCTGACAACAAGACCAAGTTGCGACAACGAGGTTAACCCATTTCTATAAGCACAGGTTTGCTTAATCGACAATCCCACTATAAAAATGTGAGTTGGGCGAGACCTAGTCGGTTTTTTCTGTCGCATTTTTCTTATAACAGACTGGCACCATTAGCCACGTAGCAGATTGAAATGGTGACTTTGCCGCGATACTCACGACCTGGTATCGAATCCAGCCGGGGGTGCTGATACCTAAGCAAGTGCAGTTCAGCCTGGATGAGATAGTCCTCTGGAAGTCAAGGCTTAATGAAATTCAATGGCATCATGAAGCCTATCCACTATCAGTTCTTAAATCGTCTTAAGTGATCTAGGGTGGCTGAGTTTATAAACTCTCAAATCACGGCCATTTTTATAACTGATGCTCTTATCTCGCTTTTTTCGTGTCGTGTGATATCTCTTTCTAAAATCTTTGTTTTTAATCTCTTCGCCCAATCCGTCCCTTCAAGATTATGAATTCCTGCACAAAGCACTGCCAGAATGGAGCTATATAATTATATATATATTACTGCACGTGCATACATAAAAGCAGATAAACAGATATAAAGAAAAAAAATCTAAAAATAAATATAGATAAATAAATAGACAGATAGGAGTCGTGGTGAGAAGACAAACATAAAAACGAACAAGATGCAAAATCAGATTAAAGAATATACACTGGTTGAGAGATTAGTTTATCTATTTGTAGAATGTTTCACATATATATGGACACATTTATAAACTCCTTGTTCATTTCTTTAGCAAGATAGCTGAATGTCAAGCATTCTGCAAATACATACACTAATCTCTCAGCCAGTCTATATTCTCTAATCTGATTTTGCATCTTGTTCGTTTTTATGTTTGTTTTTCAGCCACCACTCCTATCTACCTATCTATCTATCTATTTAATTATATATAGATTTGTCTGTATGTATATATATATTCTTTATATCTGTCTATCTGCATTTATGTATGCACGTGTAGTAATAACAATGCGTCAACCTTCAGAGTAGGATCTGGCGGTTGGCCTGTTTACGATGAGGTTCAGCAAGGAATATTTACCCTAAACATTCGCCCATCCTAGGGGCACTGCAACTTGTAGGCCAACCAAATCCCTTTCGTAGCCTAATGGAACTTGAGCCTAAGATCTGTGGATCAAGAGATGGGCACTATGGCTGGATGATACGCGGCATGTGTGAATTTGGTCATTTTCCGCATTTCCAAGCCAGTTATTTTTGGCCATCGTGTGGCTTCGTCATCTGGCTGGGCCGATTTTATTCTCCTTTGTTGTGTCGCCTTCCAGTGCCAACGCAACGGTTTTGACGGCCCAGTCTGCGGCCCTCGACCCTGCTACGAGAACAAGCGTGAATTCAGCGAGGAGCAACTGCGCGCCTCTCAGGGCATCATCGGCCTACAGGCCGGCACCAACAAGTGCGCCTCCCAGTCGGGCATGTCGATGGGCGGAGTGCGCCACATCGCGGACATCAAAGTGGACGAGATGTCCAAAGAGGGCCAGTCCATAATTGGCCTGCAGGCGGGCTCGAACAAGGGCGCCTCGCAGTCGGGCATGTCGATGGGCGGAATGCGCCACATCGCCGACATCAAAGTGGACGAGATGTCCAAGGAGGGCCAGTCCATAATCGGCCTGCAGGCGGGCTCGAACAAGGGCGCCTCGCAGTCGGGCATGTCGATGGGCGGAATGCGCCACATCGCCGACATCAAAGTGGACGAGATGTCCAAGGAGGGCCAGTCCATAATCGGTCTGCAGGCGGGCTCGAACAAGGGCGCCTCACAGTCGGGCATGCGGATCGGCGGCCAGCGCCACATTGCCGACATCAAAGTGGACCCAATGTCGCAGAACGGCTCCTCCGTGATTGGCCTTCAGATGGGCGTCTCGGCCGACCAGGGTGCCAGTCAGTCCGGCATGACTTTTGGCGCCCAACGGCACATCACTGACAGCTATTAGGCCAGGGCCGCGTTTCTGCACAGATCCTTCTAGAAACATCTATTTTAAGTTATCTCTTGCTTATGTGCATTGAACTGCTTCCTTCTTCTGGGCTCAGTCTTGCATCGAGTATGGCCACTTTTGAGCATTCTCTTCGACAGAACATCTAATTATTACTCTCTTTTTATATGGCTTCTCATAACACCGAAACTCTGTTTTAGCACACTTTTTTGAGTATGT